CTTTCCTTCCCTCTCTCGGGTTCCTCACAACATATTCTGATTCCTCTCTATTTGTGAAGTATGTTGGTTCTGAGATTGTGATTTTACTTCTTTATGTGGATGACATCATCTTAACTGGGAATGCTACAGATGCCATACACCATGTTATTCAGTCTCTTACTACTGAATTTGATATCAAGGATTTGGGTCCACTTCATTATTTCTTGGGGATCCAAATATCTCGAACAGCCACTGGGTTGTTTTTGTCCCAAACCAAGTACATTCAAGAACTTTTGCACAAGACAGAAATGAGTGATTGTAAACCGTGTGATACTCCCTGTCTCCCATATAATCGGTTGGTGAAGGATGATGGGATTCCATTTTCAGAACCAGGTACATACAGAAGCATAGTTGGTGCTCTGCAGTACCTCACTTTTACACGCCCAGACATTGCATTCTCTGTCCATCAAGTGTCCCAGTTTATGCAAAACCCTATGGTCTCTCACTACACTGTTGTCAAACGCATTTTGCGTTATTTAAAAGGCACTTTGTCTTCTGGTCTTACATATGCTGCTGGTGACACTGGTTTAAAGGCTTTCAGTGATGCTGACTGGGCTGGCGATCCCAATGACAGACGATCTACAACAGGGTTAGTTGTTTTCCTGGGCTCCAATCCCATATCCTGGTCTTCTAAGAAACAACAAATGGTGTCTCGATCGTCCACTGAAGCGGAATATCGCGCCATGTCCTCCACTGCTGCTGAACTTGATTGGATTCAACAACTTCTTACATTCCTGCAAATTCAGATGTCTTGTGTTCCTGTTCTTTTCTGTGATAATTTGTCTGCAATTGCTCTGTCATTTAATCCGGTTCAACATCAAAAAACCAAGCATATTGAAGTTGATGTTCATTTTGTTCGCGAACGGGTTGCTAAACAGCAGTTGCTTGTGCAGTTTGTCTCTTCTCGTGAACAGTTTGCAGACATCCTTACCAAAGGCCTCAGTGCACCCCTCTTCCGCACTCACTGTAACAACCTCATGCTTGGTGTTCCTCCCAATCCTGAGTTTGAGGGGGGATGATAGAGTTAAATGAACAAATAGGATTGTGACACTTGTAATCAGATTAAGAGAGTTAGTTATAGTTAGCAAGCGTATGCAAGTGTAAGAATGTTCTTGTATAAATACTCTCTAAGAAGAATACTGTAACAACTAAGAAGAATAACAAGAAATATCTTTCTCTCTCTCACTCTACATTTCTCTCGACTTCTCTCTCTCTCTATAAACCCTAATGATGAACTGCTTCTTGGTTTACAATCTCCTCATATACCCTCTTCTTTCTCTTACCTCCAATCATTTCTTACTTTCTTTCCTCCTCTCTTTTCTTTCTCCCTCTCATGCGACTCCCTCTCTTTGGAGCTCTTTGTCTGGTTTAAGTTTTAAGATTTAAAATTTTTAAATCTCATATCAAACAAGTTTTTGAGTTTTAAAGAAAAATATTTTCAAGAAATGTTCTTAAGAAATGTTTTGAGAAATGATGAAAATTTTAGGATAGGATACCAAACAGGCCCTTAACTTCTACTTAAAAAATCTCAGCTTACTTCCTTTTTTAGTTGTATGAATTGTTACTGTTTAAAAATTGTTATTTCCTTGTTTATCAATAAAAAAATATATTTAGAACCTATTATACTCATTGTCTCCTCCTCCCAGGAACGACTTATATGCTACTCGTACACCATTATGTTGGTATCTTGTGATACTAAAATATAGGTATGTGCAAGTCTTTGTTCACTTGTTATTTTTTCATTGACGCATGATGTTATGTGTTGGTGTACTTGTGCCACGTAAATTATTCTTCCTCCTCTCTCTTGTCTCTCTATTATCAGTTTGTTTGCTTATCACCCTATGCTGCATTGATTCTTCTAGAAATACGAATAAAATTTGGGAAATTTGTTAAATCTACTCTCGTCCAATCTGCTCTCGTCCTCCTCTTTATCTCCTCATATACCCTCTTCTTTCTCTTACCTCCAATCATTTCTTACTTTCTTTCCCCCTCTCTTTTCTTTCTCCCTCTCATGCAACTCCCTCTCTTTGGAGCTCTTTGTCTGGTTTAAGTTTTAAGATTTAAAATTTTTAAATCTCATATCAAACAAGTTTTTGAGTTTTAAAGAAAAATATTTTCAAGAAATGTTCTTAAGAAATGTTTTGAGAAATGATGAAAATTTTAGGATAGGATACCAAACAGGCCCTTAACTTCTACTTAAAAAATCTCAACTTACTTCCTTTTTTAGTTGTATGAATTGTTACTGTTTAAAAATTGTTATTTCCTTGTTTATCAATAAAAAAATATATTTAGAACCTATTATACTCATTGTCTCCTCCTCCCAGGAACGACTTATATGCTACTCGTACACCATTATGTTGGTCTCTTGTGATACTAAAATATAGGTATGTGTAAGTCTTTGTTCACCTGTTATTTTTTCATTGACGCATGATGTTATGTGTTGGTGTACTTGTGCCACGTAAATTATTCTTCCTCCTCTCTCTTGTCTCTCTATTATCAGTTTGTTTGCTTATCACCCTATATTGCATTGATTCTTCTAGAAATACGAATAAAATTTGGGAAATTTGTTAAATCTGCTCTCGTCCAATCTGCTCTCGTCCTCCTCTTTATCTCCTCATATACCCTCTTCTTTCTCTTACCTCCAATCATTTCTTACTTTCTTTCCTCCTCTCTTTTCTTTCTCCCTCTCATGCAACTGCCTCTCTTTGGAGCTCTTTGTCTGGTTTAAGTTTTAAGATTTAAAATTTTTAAATCTCATATCAAACAAGTTTTTGAGTTTTAAAGAAAAATATTTTCAAGAAATGTTCTTAAGAAATGTTTTGAGAAATGATGAAAATTTTAGGATAGGATACCAAACAGGTCCTTAACTTCTACTTAAAAAATCTCAGCTTACTTCATTTTTTAGTTGTATGAATTGTTACTGTTTAAAAATTGTTATTTCCTTGTTTATCAATAAAAAAATATATTTAGAACCTATTATACTCATTGCCTCCTCCTCCCAGGAACGACTTATATGCTACTCGTACACCATTATGTTGGTCTCTTGTGATACTAAAATATAGGTATGTGTAAGTCTTTGTTCACCTGTTATTTTTTCATTGACGCATGATGTTATGTGTTGGTGTACTTGTGCCACGTAAATTATTCTTCCTCCTCTCTCTTGTCTCTCTATTATCAGTTTGTTTGCTTATCACCCTATGCTGCATTGATTCTTCTAGAAATACGAATAAAATTTGGGAAATTTGTTAAATTGTTTGTTGGGACTCATGGGAAATTTTAGTGCTTATTTGTTGGGACTCTAAACGTCTTCAATAGTCCGGCTTTTTATCCATTTTAGACTAGCAATTCAGACAATAAAAAAAAAAAGGGGTAAATTACATTAAATCACTTCAGGTTTGAGGTCTATTGCAACCTCATACAACATCTTCAAAACATTTCACTTTCATACCTCAAGTACTATTTTATTTCAGTACGATACATCCGTTACTGTTTAAAAATTGTTATTTCCTTGTTTATCAATAAAAAAAATATTTAGAACCTATTACACTCATTGTCTCCTCCTCCCAGGAATGACTTATATGCTACTCATACACCATTATGTTGGTCTCTTGTGATACTAAAATACAGATATGTGTAAGTCTTTGTTCACCTGTTATTTTTTCATTGACGCATGATGTTATGTGTTGGTGTACTCATGCCATGTAAATTATTCTTCCTCCTCTCTTTTGTCTCTCTATCATCAGTTTGTTTGCTTATCACCCTATGCTGCATTGATTCTTCTAGAAATACGAATAATTTTGGGAAATTTGTTAAATTGTTTGTTGGGACTCATGGGAAACTTTAGTGCTTATTTGTTGGGACTCTGAATGTCTTGAATAGTCCGGCTTTTTATCCATTTTAGACTGGCAATTCAGATAAAAAAAAAAAGAAGGGTAAATTACATTTTATGACCTCAGGTTTGAGGTCTATTGCAACCTTATACAACATCTTCAAAACATTTCACTTTCATACCTCAAGTACTATTTTATTTCAATATAATACATCCGTTACATTTGTCATCCATTGATCTGTTAAAAGCCGACGTGGATGCCACATTTGTGCCACGTGGCTACCAAATTTGTACCCCCATCTCCCCCGCAACTCCCCACCCCTCTTCTCCCTCACGAGCCTCCCAACCACCTCTCTCTCCTCCACACTCTTCACCTCCCCTCCCATCCAAAAACCTACCCCTCCCAATCTCCATAACCACCAGCGCACCATCCCTCCCAATCCCTAAACCCTCATTCTCTAAATCTCCCAATTCTTCTAATTCTTCTTCTTCCCCAAATCTCTATAAAAAAAATCTCTCTATTTTTGCTCTCAATCCGGGGGAAAAAACCCCCAGAAATTTCATGGATTTCGAAATTTTATTTCCCAAAATCTATACGGATTCAAAAATTCAAAACAGGAAGATGACATTACCAACGCTGCAGGACGTAGGAGGATCCTTCTGCAGATCTTTGAGTTCCTTCAAGATCCGCTTGGACGCTATCTGCGAAACCCTGGATAAATCAACACACATAGATCAAAATCCATAACCAAAACCCATGCGACACAACCAATAGCTTACACACCTACAAATAGAGCTCAATTCTCTCTCACTCTCTCTCTCTCACACACACATAGAAGAAGAAGAAGAAGAGATCATATTCGTACCTGATAGGACTAGTTACAGAGAGAGAATGAGACGGCGGTGATGACGGCAACAAATCGAACCCCCCAGATCAACTCTGAGTACCGGGATGTGGGGGTGGGGTGGTTGCGAGGGAGGTGGGGTTGGGGTGGGATAGGGTGGGTTTTTGGATGAGAAGGAAGGTGAAGAGAGTGGAGGAGAGGGACGTGGATGGGAGGCTCGGGAAGAAGAAGAGGGGTGGGGGGGGGGTTGTAGGGGAGGTGGGGGTGGGGTTCAAAGTTATCAGGTTTTTTTTTTTGTTTTTTAATTAATTTTTTTTGCCACGTGGCACAAATTTAATGGATCAATAGATGAAAAATTTAATGGATGTATTATATTGAATAAAATAGTATTTGAGGTATGAAATTGAAATGTTTTGAAGATGTTATATGAGGTTACAATAAACCTCAAACCTGAGATGGTAAAGTATAATTTTACTCAAAAAAAATCTTCAATTAAATCATGATCCTTCATTTTTTGTACTAGTGAGTAGTCTAAACTGTGGAAGGAAAACTGCCACATCTAAACTATTTAAAAATAAATAAAATAAAATAAAAAAACGGAAATATAAAGGGAAGGCAACACATGAAATCCTACCAAACGGCATCATCAACATAACGGCTACGTGGAAGAAGTGGAGCGCTGTTAGAATTTGAAATTTGAAATTTAAGAGTGAAAAAAATAAAATAAAAAAAAAGAAGCGGAAAACCAAAATCCTACAAATGCTGAAGGCTTTTCTACTTCTTTCAAACACTCTTCTTGAAGCACCCACACGCTCCCATCGATCCTCAACTTTCAATCCCCGAAATTCCTTCTCCAGATCAAAAGATTACAGCACTTGATTTCCTCATACGCACTAGAATCGATTTCTTCAAGGTGTTCCTTCTTACCCCTTTTTTTGTTTTTTGTTTTTTTATTTAATTTCTAATTTTTTGTTAAATAATTTTGTGCTTGAAGTTTGTATTTAGAACGTAAAGAGACATTCCTGAATTAGATTCGATTAATTTAATGATCTTTCTTGTTTATGTTTTTGTTTTGTTCCAAATTCTCATAAATCAAACAATTGGAAGACGTAATCTCTTATTCTAACATGGTTTTTAACGAATTGAAGTCCTAAAATTTTTTAGCCAGGTTGGTATTCGAAAATCTCCCCGAAGATGAATGATCTAATGACCAAGTCATTCCTCAGTTACGTGGATCTCAAGAAGCAGGCTATGAAAGATCTCGAGTCCCAACCCGACCTCGAAATGGGGAAACTTGACGCCGCTGACGAACAGAACCTTGCCGGATTTTTTGAACAAGTGAACGCAATGAAGGCTGACATGGAAGAGATCACAAACCTCCTTGTTGATCTTCAGGACCTGAATGAAGAAACCAAGTCCACTCACAGTGCTAAAGTGCTCAGAGGGTTGAGAGACAGAATCAATGCTGATATGGTTACTATTCTGAGGAAAGCGAAAAGCATCAAAGCGAGTTTGGAGTCGCTTGATCGTTGTAACGTGGCTAATCGAATTGTGTCTGCGGCCTACAAGGAAGGAAGCCCTGTTGATCGAATGAGGATTTCCGTGACGAATGGTTTGAGAATTAAGCTGAGAGAGATTATGAATGATTTTCAGATCTTAAGAGAACAGATTGTTAAGGAGCACAAAGACGGTCTCAAGAGGAGGTATTTCAGTGCCACTGGGGAGGAAGCGAGTGATGAAGTGATTGATAAGATGATTTCAACAAATGGGCAGGTCAAAACTTTCGAAGGAAAGGCGGAGCTGGTGATGGAGAATCAGGAAAGGCATGAGGTCTTGAAGGACATACAGAGAAGCTTGACGGAGCTCCATCAAGTGTTCCTTGACATGGCTGTGTTGGTTGAAAAGCAAGGCGAACAGTTGGATGACATCGAACAGAATGTGGTTGGTGCTGGGGCTTATATTAATGATGGAACTAATGCGCTTTCTAATGCTAAGAAGATGAAAAAGAGAAGAGGAAAATGGGTTTGTTGGATTGGCGCTGTTGTGTTGTTTATTTTGCTTGTGTGCCTGGTTTCCATCTTTGCTTAATTTCTGAAATTTTGGAGGTAAAAGTTCATATTCAACCATGGTTTGATTGTTACTGTAGATGGAATTTCGGCCGGTGGATTGCATCATTGCTTTACATTTGTCATCTAGAATGCAATGCGTGATGACATGGATCAGTTTTCTTTTCTGGAATATTTCTGATGAAATTTCTTCATCCTTGCACGTCTTTTTTCTTCCTGTTGTTTGTATTTTTCGGAAAGGAGGTTCTTTTGTTTGGATATGCTTGGCGTAGTTCTTACTTGTGATCTGAATGCCCTTTTGTAATTGGAGATTCAATTTGTAAGAATTGTTCATTGAAGCTGATGTTTGTTTCCTTTTCACGTTGTATCTATAAATATGTTAGAAAGTTATCTGTCGTCTTGGCCCAGGACTTGGAGAGCTTTAGGAGCTTTGGGCTCATAACCTAACATGTAAGGTTCGAAGTGAGGGTGTTCAATGAGTTCATTAGGATAGCGAGAGCTTGAAATTACTTTTAGTAGATATGGAGGCATACGAAGATTAAAATCTTTTAAAATCATGTTTTGGATACTTGTTGTACGAAAGCTTTGTCGGGTTTTGACCATTTATGTGATGACACATAGTTGGCAATAAGATATTTGTATCTTTTTCCCTCGTCCGGCCAGTAATTCCTCAATTGTGCCCGCAAGATAACTGAGAACTCAAAATATTGGACACATCAATAGGAGGAGTAATTAGTATCATCAATAACCTCAACCTCAAGTGGTTGCACCATTGCAGCCATGTTTGGTGGTTATTTGACTGCCACAGAGCGCTGCTGGCTGAGTTGGCAGTGCTGCAGCCGCTACTGGCTGGGCTGGCAATGCCGTGTTATCTGTTGGCATGTTTGGCAGTGTCGTTGGCGCTGCTGGATATGCTTGTAGTTTGGTCCAGTTCTGGTTTTCATTCCTTGTCTCTCCCTGAAGAGTAGGGTTGGAGGAAAACGAAGGATGAGGTTACATCCTGGTGACATACATCTGTCAAGTGGGGGATGATAGAACAGTACCCTTTTTGATGCACTTCATACCCCATAAAAATACAACAAAGAGCACAAGGGTCAAGTTTGATTTTTATGAAAGTGATCAAATCCGACACACCCAATGACATGGGTGGTATCATTAAGAGGGACGGTGAGGCTTGTAATAGTGTTTAAAAATCCAAGATTTTTGGATGGCATCCAATTGATAAGATATGTAGCAGTTTGAATTGGGACATCCCAAGAGGAACATGGGACATTCGCACAAATTAACAAGGCCCGGCTAGTTTCTAAAAGATCTCAATTTTTTTGCTCTACCACCCTATTCTGTTGAGAGGTCTGAGGATAAGTAGTTTTATGGAGGATACCAAGATTAGGCAAATAATGGGCAAAATCATGATTAACAGTTTCTCTTCCATTGTCAAAACGCAAAATCTACATTTTAGCATGAAAATGAGTCTGAACCATGGTGTGAAACACTTTGAAGGCCGAAAACACATACACTTTTATTCTTAAGAAGATACAGCCAGGTCATTCGTGTGCAATCATCCACAAATATCATAATCCATCGAATGCCAGAAAAAATAGTAATTAGAGATGGTCCGCAAACATCAGAGTGTATTAATCCAAAAGGAATAACGCTTTTATTAGAACTCAACGGATAAGAAACACGGTGACTTTTAGCAAGAATGCAAGTGCCACACTTAAAATCGGAACTAGAACATTCAACAAACAAATCCGAAAACATATTTGTAAATAACTGAAGGAGCGATGACCTAAACGGTGATGCCACAACCATACTTGATGTCTCTTGTGATCAATTGTTCCTTGGACTAGATTAACACGGCCCGTACTAACATCATCCACAAAATAGAGATCCCCCTAGTACCATGACCAATGATCTTCTTCGTGAGAATATTCTAGAAAAGACAAAACTTTAGATGCATTAGTACACAATAATTGAATTGATTAGTACCTTGACTAGGAGACATCAATTTATGCTTTATTGGAGGCACAAGTAATATATTAGGTAAAAAGAAAGCCGAAGTAAGATGCGCAGTGGCAATACCAGTAGCAGGAGAGGTTACACCACTCGCATTGGTGATTTTATGTCGTAGTGGGGTGGTATCACATGCTAGATCATGAGGGTCATAAGTCATGTGATTTGTAGCACCAGAGTCTATGATCCAATCTCACTGAATATTATCACCATTCACATGTAAGGCATAACCACAGTTACTTGATAACTCCAAAAAAAACTCGATCGCAATAGAAAAATTAGGAGGATTATCCTGAGATATTAAAGATAATTGAGACATTGAGGTTGCGAGATTCACTTGTCCTTGCTTGGTATCTTGCTTCTCTCGTTCCCGTTGTCTTTGAAGCTTTAAGGGTTCCCACCGTTCAGGACAGCCACATAGTTGAAAACATTGGTCACGACCATGTCTCTCACTGCCATATTAGGTGTAGCCATATGGGAACAGATGGCTTGGTCTGAGGGAGCCATGGGCCTTGCTGGGTCGTGGGGCTGTGTGGCAGCAAATAGGGACCCCTAAGTTGGGCTTAGGCCACAGGCCTAGAGCTGCAGTCCTAAGCTCGGTTTAACGGGCTTCTCTTGGGCTCGAGACGGGAACTTGAAGAAGGAGAGGCTCTCATTGCTGGGCGTGCAACCAAGGTAGCCCCACTACTCAGAGTTCTTGCACTATTGTTCATCACCGCAAGTTAGCCAACCTTTCACGATAGCATTCTCTATGCCCCACTTAGTGAGAGTTGGATCATCAGTAGGGGTTGAGGATTACTTTCAAAAAAGTATTCCAACTTGTCTTTACTAGCAATAAACATCTTAACAATCAAGGACCGAACTCCATAATTGGCACCGTTGAGTTTGATACCAATCAATGCAGGGGATGAATCATGATGGATGATATGTGTTACAACTTGTGGTAGAGTCATCGGGATTATTAGTGTTTAGGGTAGTAGTAGTAGGTATAACATCGGTTAGGGTGGAATCCGTGATGGGGATTTCACCATGAAGAGGCAGCAGATTTTCTATGAAGGCTCGAAATTTTTCTGAAGGGAACAGGCAGAACAGAAATCTTAGGATCTCTGCTCTCATACCATGCTAATTTAAGGCTTATTTGGGCTTTCAATTCTTGATATCATTCTTCTCACAAATGAGGCAAACATATATAATGCAAACTTGATTTACAAGGTAAGAATATGCAACAATATTTATCCTAATTATACGGACTCTAACTGGAACAAATCCCCCTAAGTACACACGAAAGTCAAGTCACTCCAACACTAACTTCACATTTAAAACAATCCGATACACATTACATTCTTTTATTGGTCTTAGAACAAGAGTTCTGCTTGTAGAACTCCTGCACTTTGCAGTAATGTTTGCAAGAATTTGTCAGACAAAAGGCTCAAAATAAATAATAGTTCATTTTCTTCGAGAAACCCAAATTTGAGTTCTCCCCGTACGTACGTGCATGGAACTAACAAGGTGGAAGGTCTTTAGGTGGAGGCAAGACAGAGTGATCAGAGTCTTTCCCATTTTCCACTACAAATGCAGTCTTCAAACCCCAGCTGGTATGCAGCTCCAAATGACAGTGCAGGAACCACACACCTAACGATGATCAAATGCCGTTCAAAAGATTAGTAAAATATCTAAAAATAACAAATAACTTGCTTAATTAGTAAATTTGAAGTTTCATGTAGCACACTATTTGGTTATGTCGATGTCTTTACCTGGATTGTCCGCCCTGAATCTTATTGCAGTCCAACCACCGGTGGGAACTCCAACTGTGTTTCTTTCAGGAGGATCCACCAAATTATACTTAGCCGGGTCGTTCTTGGGGTCAAAGTTCCCAATTCCAGAGCCAACAACAAAGAAATTGTAACCATGAAGGTGGAAGGGATGAGACTCCACTGTGAGGAGATTGGTGTCTTGTAGCACCAACTCTACTGTTGAATTGAAGGCAATCTTGCTAAGCCTGGTGCCTTGTTTTGTTCCAAGGTTGGATGTGAGTGGAGTACCAGTGTAATTGAAAGGCGTTGGAGGGTGGTCTGGGAAATCTGTGGTAAATATTCCTGTGGTGTTGAAATAATGAGCTTGAAGCAGCCCAATCTGTGGCATCACAAAAGTGATATTGTTTAAAGCAGCAGTGAGGTGTGTTCCATTCAGGCAAGTAGGGCAGGGGTTGATTCCTAAACCAATTGTGTAAAAGAGATGTCGATCAACTTTGAGAGGTAAATTGGCTGGGAGCTGAGCTGTGTTTAGACTTCTTAGCTTGCCATTGTAGCTCAATGCGAAAGCACTGTTATTGAGTGCTGGAAGTTGAGGAAGGATTGGCTGTACATAATTTGGGATGCCTTTATATTGTAGTATAGCAGTGGCAGTTTTGTTGTCAACGGAAACAGGTGCATCCATGAATGGCCTGGCAGCCATGAAATATCTGTTGGGCGCTTGAATTGCTTGAACAAGAACATTCGTAGTCTGGCCTGGTGCTATCAGTATTGCTTGGGTTGTAAATGGTTTGGTATAGACCGCATCAATTTCTACCACCGTCAAACTGTGGCCAGCTATGGCGAAGAATAGCTCATCATTGAGTGCAGCATTAATGATTCGTAGCAGGTACGTCTTTCCTTGTTCAACCTCTAATACATAGGTATCTGAGATTGCAACAAACAAGAAATTAGAAGAAGCATCTTGAATATCTGGTGTCTAAGAATCTCTCTTTAGAAGGAGCTGGCTTACGTTTTTCAGAACATGGAAACAGAGGACCTGGCTTCCCATTGATGGTGTGTGCATCTGACATATCTGGTGGCAATCCAAGTAAGTTCCCTTTCTTAACAACCTCTTCGACGTCGTTATTCCACCATTCTCCTACAGCATTGACAAGAAACAATACAATTATTTTCTGCATATAATCTTAATTTTTCTACCTAAATTTCAAAAACTTGTGGTCGCACTCTCCCACCTAAGACAATGTTAGCTTCACTGTAGGGCGGAGGAAATGGAAATCCAACCCCTTGTTTCGGCATGATGACAATTGCTCCGTGGACAGTAGCTCTTAGCCAAAAGATGTGAGCATGCCACCAAAGTGTTCCCCTTTGCCCGGTTACAGTAATATTGTAGGTATAGCTGTTCCCTGTTTTGATAGGGCATTGTGTGATGTAGGCGGGCCCATCTGCCCACCCATTGCGATATTGCTTCAGTCCATGCCTGCAAAAATCCACCAAATTGTTCATCAGTACAACCCAAATGTTCGTATTAATCATGCTAAATTAGTCAAATAAATTCAAATATAAATATTCTTACCAATGAATTGACATGTTA